TGATGCTGTGGGTGCTGTGGAGCTGGTGGCAAAGCCAGCTGCCAGCTCCACTGGGACACAAAGTGACCTGTGCTTTTACTTTGAGCCCAGCTTTTTGATGGGCTCCAAAACTCATGTGCTGACTCGGAGAAGCATGAGCCCCAGGGCTACACGGGATATCCTTAGCAAATTATACCAAGAGTCGTTTGATACAAAGGTTCCCCTACCACCTCTGACAAATTATTATTTTTACAAGATCAAAGCCAAACATGTTTCATTGCTACCTCGAGCTCAAAAGTTCATCATGAGTGATACAAAGGTCTGCCACCACAGAAAGAAGGGAGGAGAGAAAAACAGCAGGACAAGGGACATCCCGGTGTACATCCCCTAAGGCCACGGTTGTCCAGTCCAAAATTCCCCTTGATACCTCCAACCATCTTCAGGCACCCCCAAATTTCCCCTGCTCCTTTTGCTTGTGGTTTCCCCTTGGCTTGTGGTGCAAGAAAGCTCTTGCCCATGCATCCATGCCATGCAAGCCCTGTGCCATGGAGTTCATATACCAAAAATCAATACAACACATCACATCTGTGTTTAAAACTAACAGCTGCATTTTCTTTTAATTTCTGGGGCTTGGCCACAACTACATCTTGAAGCCGATCCTCCTACCCCTGCTCACAACCAGACATGCAGTACAAGGAAAGCTGCAGCTCTTCCCAAGCCCTGCCAGTTATGGGTTTGATTTATTTAGGATGCAATTCTCAGTTGCTCTCCAGGCATCAGCATATAATTATTGTATAACTGTGGATGGTTTAACAGGCTAAAAAAAAAACAGTCCCATCCAGCATTTGGCTTTGCTACCATTTGGTGGTGACAAGTCAATGTGCCTTGGGCACAGTGCGCATCAGCCTTTGCCAAGATGGACACAGCAGCACCTGTTTTCATAAACCACTAGAGAGAATTTAAAACCCAACAATATACGTGTGCAGGTCACATTTTTCCCTCCAGCACACCCTCCTGATCCCTGCCAGCCCTCACTTTTACCAGTGTTTGCTAAGTCCACCTGAAATTCCTCTTAGTCTCCACCAGCACCAAAACTGGGCAGGGCTTTGCCAGCTTTCAGAGTCAGAGCCTCACACTGTAAACCTTGCTGGACCTGCTTAGGCAAATGCTAACTCTTCATGTTGATATTTTCCACACCAAGTGCAATTCTTTTTATTTTATCCTTTCTTTTTTTCTTCCTCCCCCCCACCCCCCAAAATAAATTCAGCCCAAATTACTCAGCCACTTCCAAGAATAAGGCTTAAAAAAAGCCATGTTGCTCCACCCGTACATTAAAAAAAAAAAATTAAAAAAATATGGCAACCCTTTCCTTAATTGGCTCCACGACAGCAGGATATGAAATCTGGGCAGCAGTTGTCTGTATGCTTTTTGTAGTCCTCAAGAAAATAAGTTCAAAATTTGATTGCTGTTCAGGGCAAAATAAAAACCCCCATCCAGCAGCCACGTCCCATCCTCAAAGAGCTCAGGCTGCCCAGCGCGGCCCCCACTCCAGCTGAGCCGGACCCTCCCGCAGCGACAGGGATCCGCTCACTGATTTGACAGGGGAGAGGGGCTCCCCCTCCGCTCCCCTCCAGCCCTGCCAGTGACATCGTGCTCCTGAAAACATCAACTTTTCCAACAAATTGCCCTAAATTTGCCCTTGGGATAGGTCTGTCCCAAGAGAAACAAGGGTCCTATGAGGAAAAAAACCTCCTGACTGTCTAATTAGCAATACCTTCCTACCTAACGAAGATACTCGAGGGAGAGAGAGGGGAGGCAATTAGGCTCATCCAGCCAATTTAGACCTAGCATTACCTCATTTTTCTGTGCTTGACTTGCAACCTTGATATGCTGGTGCACGTGGAGCTGCTATGCATATTTAACTCTAAATTTCAAGCTTAAAGTCCCAGACCGGTGAAGAGCATCCTTCAGCCAGGCTGTCGCTGCAGCACACGCCTCTTCGCCTGCTCTTTCCTCCCAGTAAATCTGAAAACATCAAACAGAATTTGGCCTTTCCTCTGACAGTTCCTGCCTTAACAATTTCCTTAATAACTTAGCTAATTTGTCCAAGGCTTTCTGAAAATACAAATAATTCATCTCCCAACCACCCTCCCCAATCATTTTACCGCAATACTGAAAAAAAGAAGAAAAAAAACCTCTGATTAAACTGGATTTTCTGTATAAAAGCCATGCGTTGTTGTCCTTAATCTATCACACTAAAGCTCAGGCATTTCCACACGAGCTTTAATTATTTTCTCAGCCAATTTTCTTGGTGCTAAAATAAAGCTGGCTGCTCTGCAATTCCCACAGTTGTTCTTGTACCTCTTTAAATTAAGGACAGAGCAGAAGAGGCTGCGCTCCCGTGCAGCAGTTGCTTTTAATGAGAGATTACTTTTTGCTGGCAGTTCAGCTGCTTCACTGTTAAATTCCTTCAGAAGAGCTGGCTGGAGCCCACCGGGCCCTGGTGATTTGTTGCTCTTTAATTTCTCCATTTGCACAGTACCGTATTCCCCAGGGGAATTTCATCTTCATCGCTGCCTACATTGTCTTGACTGATGGAATGAAACCGTTTCACTTCATCACAACATCCTGAACTTCTCCCATCGGGCTCCGGTGATGGAGTGGAGCTCCCAAGGCTGGGAAGGGATTCCACAACCTGCTCCGTACCCCTACACTGCTGGTGGGGTGCACCTTAAACACCTCTTCCCTTGCAGCTTGCACAACTAATTTTAGTTGGGGTTTTTGTCCCCCACATCCTAAAAAGGGATTTATTCCCAACGTGTAAACTCTAAACAAGCCTTACTAACCAACATGCAGGCACCACCCCAAGCCAGGGAGCTCCAGCCCCGCCGTCAGCATCACTGGTCCAGCACATCCTACCGGTCACCGCTCCTGTCCCCACTGCAGGAGCTCCCAGGCTGCCCCTTGAGCTCCTCTGTTTTAGGGCGCTGCATTTTCCACCACCCTTTCTCTCTTTTCCTCTCTATAAAATCTCTCCATTTGTCAAGCAGCTCCACCAGCCTCCACCACCGCCCAGAGATTTCTGTAGTTCCTGCATACACAAGCCACCTCACCCCAGCAAGCTCCCTCTGATACTCCCCCACGTACGCTGCCCCCAGCTCAGCACCTTCCACACCCAGCATGCTCTGCCGTCCTTCCCCTCCTGCCAGCACCAGAGCCGAACGTATCCCATTGTTTTAAATGGCTAATAATACTCTTACAGCTGTGCAAAAATCAACTGATTACACTATTTGTTCTGGCAATGCAATGAAACCTTCCCATCTGCAGCCACCTCTGGATCACTAGGGCCCGAAAGTATGATGTGGGAAGGACTCATGACAATAGGGGTTTTTCTCAGCCTAATGTTAAACCATCAGCTGCTAATGTCCTATTTGTCTAGCCTGACAGAACTGCAGTGTAGGAACAAGCACAAAGGTTGCGTGTTGTTTTAAGTCAGTCGTGACTGCACAAGAATATAAGCCATCATCAAGCTGTGCTCCTCATTCACCATTATCAGGTGCCAGCCTTGCAGCATATGGTTTGGATTTCATGGGATCCTGAAAGCATCTCAAACCCACAACATTCACGACAGCCCTCTGCAGATGGAGCTGAACGCTTCACCTGTAGATGCAAACCCTTCGGTGTGCGCCCAGCACCACTCACATTTCAGACGAGCTCACTGGGAAGCAGCAGCAGCTCTAAGGAGCTTGTCTTGAGGTACCTGCATGGGGCACAGATGCTGTGGCCAAAGCCCACAATGTCTCCATGAGGGAAAATACATCACTTACCCTCAAGATGTCAGAGGCAAGCAAGGAACAAAGCTCATCTGCTTTTTCTTCGGTTATGTCCTGGTTAATGGGAAGATTTTACCTCTCTCCTGCAAGTGGTGCCTGGCTCAGCAGCGTGCACGAGGCGCTGTGCTGTGCCCTGCTCGGCGAGGTGACAGCTCCCCAAGTGCTCCCGTGGGACCTCTGCACAGCACATGCCCACCAACAACTCCCGAGGGATCTGACATCTGGAGTTTACGACGTGGAAAGCAGATCAGGGAGAGATTTCCTGCAATTTGCTCACCAGTTCTTGCAGCCATGCACACGAGAATCACACCTATGGATTTCTCAGCAGCTAGAGCAGTTCAAAGAAACCCCTCAAACAGTGCACAGCAGCCCCCAGGACCCTTAAAGGGCAATTCCCACAGACATGGTGTGGAAACCTTCCTCTCCCACCTCCTTTAGTGGCCTGGGTGTTGACAGGACACAAAAAGGTGCAGAGCATCTCTCCAGTCCCCTCCAACTCGGCAGGTCCCTAGAGTGCAGCACAGTTGCTTTTGATTCCTGTCAAACGCCGCAGCTCCCCAGAGCCCTCAGCACTCCAGCAATTAGTAAAACCAGAGACTGCAGCAGCCAGGCTCACCCTCCTGCAAGCAACAGCCCATCGCAGACCTCCTCTCCGCTCACTGTGCCACGTCCGTCCGTCCGTCCATCCCAGCCTCCCCAGCCATCCGCTTCTGCCTGGCACTGCCAAAACACAGCAGCCCCCGCCCTCTGTCATGGCAGCTCGGGAGCCAAAACTCTGCAGCTGGGGGGTCACAACGATGCTGGGCAGCCCCAGCCCACGGTGCTGGACCCAGGGACATCTGCAGGCACCTGGCTCCAAGGGCTGCAGCGGGAGCAGCCCCACCTTCCCAAGACCGGCGCAGATGCGAGCAAGCCACTTTCAGCCCGGTCATTAAGAAAAGCAGCTGGGGACTTGGCACACCACCAAACTGGCACGTCCACCGCTCCCGTGGCCCTGGCACCAGCAGCCCTGCCATCCCCTACAAATCCTCCTTCCCCTGCCCACCAAACCCTTCCTCTGCTCCAGGTCTCACCACCTCCCTCCTTCACCTCTCCTGGAGTTATGTGCTCTCTTGCCCCTGGTCTAACCAGCTTCTCCTCCGCTGCCCAGGACTGTTGTAAGGCAGGCAAGTGAAACACAGCACTCACGTCAGCACCGGCAGCTCCTGACAGAAGACCTGTGCCCGGCCGGCTCCTGCCAGACCACACATTGCGGCAGCTTTTCGATCCAAACCCTTCTCCAAACGCACCCCGCAGCTCTGTGTCCTTCCCCTCTTCCTCAGCCACTGCCTGCAATGCAGCTCTAGCCCAGCGATGTCCCTGCAAACAGCCAGAGGCCCCTGGCCCTGCAAGGACAAGGGGAGGGCACGGCTGCAAATGCAGTGCAGCGCAGCAGCAGCTGGCGCTTTATAACAACTTTTTGGGCTGAAGAACAAGTCACAGCTTTTATCCCCCAGATGTACGCTGCACAGAGGCATCCAGCCATCCGAAGAGCTGCTGCAGGCAAAGACTTGACCGATGTGGCATCGTGTCAGCACTGCCAGGCCTCCCAGCCATTAGCTACAGAGCGAGCAGAGCCCCCCGCGTCACCACCCAGCACCCCGCTTTTTAGCTGTAACAACCATGAAAGCTCTGCTCCTTCACTAACCAGAAGCAAGGCAAGGCAGCGCAGGCAGATGCACACAGATCCCCCACTGACCTTGGAGCAGCAGGGTGGCCAAGGAGAAGCATATTTCGAGGGTGAACCCCTCAGTCTCTCCAGAGGCTGGAGAAGCAGCAGCCCACTCCAGCGTTCAGAGTCCCGGTTCCGTACTGAGCGATGAGCATATTTCAGGAACTGCATCCTGTGAGTCACGCCAGGGTTATCCCCACTCCAGCATTTCCCACTGGGCCCCCAAGCCTCAACGCAGGACAGGGGCAGTGCTCACCCATGGGGGAGCACTGTTTAAAGAGGTGCAGAGAAACGACTGTACCAAAGGCAAGGTTGGGCTCATGGCAAAGTCCACTGCAGAAAAGAGCCAGAAGACACAGACGCCAATCTGGGAAGGTACCAGTGCTGCTGCAACGCAAGTGTGGCACGGCGAGGAGTTGGCCTGTCACAGGCATGCCCCAGGAACCCTCATGCTGTGCAAACATTTATCAGGGGACAGAATGAAGACAGATCCTCAACCAAAGAAGGGGTTCCTCCTGCACAGTACAGCCCCATCCCAGCAAAGACACAGAGCCCGAGTGTGCCAGCCCGGAGCTTGGCATCCCCCTGCCGCACTCCCCAACCCCTGCTGCTGAGCAGCACCGGGCAGCCCCACAGGGAAAGGGACAAACTGGAACAGAGCCACACAAGCAAGGCACAGCTCCAAAAGGACCAAGAGCTGCTGCCTCGACCAAGGTTTCCATCAACCTCTCAGCCTGCTAAAGGGCTACGGTGTGACCCCAGATGGCAGCTCAGACTGTGCTCTGAAAAGCACATGTGCTGCAGCGCTGCATCAGCCCCATGAGCCCATGAAAAAGCAAGCTGCAGAAGAGGACGCTTCAGTCCCGTTTTGTTGCTCAGCGCTGCCAGCAGGAAAAAGACTATTCCAACCTCCCTGCAGAGATCCCAACCTCGAGCACCTGCTAACTGGAAGGTTGTGCAAGTCAGCCCAGAGGCAGTTGCTGCTGCAGAGCCTCGCCGGGCTGCCCCAGCCCAGCACCCCTCCAGCCTCCAAACCCCAAAACCGCTGAACGCGACAGCCGAGCTTGCAACGGATGCCACGGAGTCGGGAAATTCAAAGGCTATTGTGCTGCTTTGTGCAAGTTTAAATATATCTGCACAGACTCCTTGGGGTTGCATTCCTGGTGAAGCGGGTAAGATAAACAAGGCTTCCTGCAGGAACTGAAGACAATGGGGAAATAATTAGCATTAATCCCCAATGCAGAAACAATGCAGGTAGCAGATATTTTAGACTTTCACACCCTCCCCCCTTGTCACATTCAGGAAGAGACACCCAGGCCAGTGTGACTTGGCCCACCAGCCTCTGCTAAAAGATACCAACTATTTAAAAGGAGGGAAGCAACATGCACCAGAGCTATGGGCTCCGCTGTTGCTTCCAGCATGGCACAGCCTGTGATGCCACACCAGACAGCCACAAGCAAACTCAGAGGAAAGCCCCCACGTTGCAGCAGGGATGCAACAGGGAGGGTGCAACTCACTTACAGACCTCATTCCTCCCTAAGTAGCTGGGCCAGAGGAAGTCCTGGATCCTCTGCTGCTACAGCTACCACCTCTTCATTTCAGAGAGAGACAAACCAAGGCTTGTTCTCAAATCATGGCAATTTTTTTAAACTGTTTTCCTACACCAGCCCCTTGGGAGTGCTCTGTATGTGAGCCAGATTTCCCAGTCCTCCTCCCAACGCTGCAGAATGACAGAGGGACATCAACTCCAGCCCATTAAACAGGTCATTCTAAGCCTTTCAAGACGAAATGATCCTGCCCTCCGAGGTGACTCACAACCATTAGCATCCCTTTGGAGAGGGCTCTCCAACCCTCAATCACTTCTGCACATAAGCACCTTTACCCTTCATCTCAAAAAAAAAAAAAAAAAAGCAGCACCCATTCAACTGGCTCAGCTTTCCCCCAGCCTACTCCACCTAACACAGATTATTCTGCAATTGTATTTGCACGGCTTCACTGCCAGGCTTGGGGCTGACAGCAAGGCACTGAGGGAGCCCAGCAGCCAGCCCCTCCCAAAGAACCCTGCTGCGGATCTACCAGGGGCACAGCAGCGGGCACAGCACGCAGCCAGCTGTGGTGGCACAAATCTGCTGGCAGGTTCACAGCTCCTGCATCTCCCACACCACTGACCGCCGGAGAGCAAGTGGTGCTGGCTTTGTAGGGGCTGGATGTTTTCGACTTGTTGATGCCCACCCACCTGCAAGCACTAAGCTCTGCTTTCTGCAACTCCAGCTTGGCTGGGTTTTATCACCCACCTACAGCACTGGCTTGGAAAGATGTGCACCCCCACATCCAGGCAAGGGGCAGAGATGACTCAGCCTTACAGGACAGAGGGACGCATGGGCACAACATGACCAGCTCAGGCAGCAGCAACGTGCTCCTGGAGGCTCGCTCAAGCCCCTTGGTGATGCTCCACGCACCCTAGGCATTTATCCATGTGGCATGCTACAAGGCAATATCCCCATGCAAGGCTGTTCATGCTCTACAGTGAGAGTGAAGAGGCTCCAGCACACCAAGGGGACCGGCATGGCAGAGACACTGCCTGCCCCATGTCCCACCCTCTGCTCTGGATGTCACCAAACACCCACTGTGGTGGTCCCTTCACACTTTATGTGGCACATCACAGGATGCTCCACCAGCGATGCAACACTCAGCATTCTCCAGGAGCAGCCCTGGGTTCACTCCCCTTCCTCCAAGGAGTTTTTTGATCAAAGCCAGGTTATCAGCAGGACACCAGTAAGGCTATGCTGCTGCAGGACACCATCCACCGTATCACACAGCTTGTACCAGGATGGGAATTAAACACTGAGCAAGCAAGACAGGTCCTGAGTGCACACAGCCAGGTTAGAAACAAGCAGCTCACCAAGTCACCTAACAGAACAGATTGTGGTGAAAGACTAGGGCATAACCCTTAAACTCTCTGCTCTGAAGCCCAGCACAGGCTGTATCCCAGAGCACAGTGAATAACTACACAATCCCAGCCTACTTCCCTGAAGTTTATGACCACACAGGTTACCTCCATCACTACTGGTCCCCAGCACAGCAGCCCACACTCCCCAGCCAGCATGGCAGCATCACCCCAAAGGCTCATCCTTGATCCAGGGGGCAACCCAGACCATTTTCTCGGTGTGCAGGGGCTACGGAGCTCCTTCCCATCCCTTTCAGCTCTCCTTAGACCCAATTCATGAGATGAAGCAGGTGACTACAAAGGTAATTTCCTCCTGCCATTGCCACTCCCTCCCTGCGTGCTGCTGGAGGAACAAGAAGCACACAGCACAGACAATACCTGCTATCTAACACTGAAGTGTTCTTTTAAGAATCTGAAAGAAAGAAAATGCTCTGTATTTTGCATTTGTAATAATCACAGATGCTGTAAGAGGCTTGCTGGAGACGTTTTACACGCAGAGGGGCCTTTGCCTCCGAGAGCATCCAACTGCCTTGATTCTCTACGGGAAGCCTGCTGCATCTGGTGAAGAATAATAAACGCAAATCCTGAAGATGCTAAAGGTAGCACAGCACTTTGCAGGTCACACAGGGACTGCACCAGTGGCCAGAAGCTTCAGAAAGTATTAGCAGGAGTGAAAGAGTTTAAAAGAAAATAAATTTGTATAAACCAATTCAGCCTGGCATGCCCAGACCATGGTCTCTCTCAGCCAAGGGCTGGAGCATTGAGCAGCTTTTCAGGCAGCGTGGAAGAGCCCAAGCCCCCTCTCCTGCCCACTGTCATCCCCAAACACAGCAAGGACATTGGGGCCAGTGTGGGACCTGAATCTTCACCAATGGCAGCCTCAGCATGGCAGAGGGCATCACCACCCTGCACTGTGAGGGGACACCAGCCCTGTGGCATCTCGAACTGTAACACACGTCACCCTGCCACCAATGACCCCCCCTGCAGACCAGCTCAAATCCCCTCCTGACAAGCAGGGCAGTAACACTGCTTGATGATAATTCATGAGATGAAGTGCTGCTAAAAGACTTCAAGAATCCAATAAAAGGAATGAAAAAGGTTTAAATATTTCATGCCAGAAAAATGCAAGTGTAAAACATGGAGACAGGGGGCCAAGGCAGTGACAACAGCCAGCACCCAAAAAAGCATCCTCCAATGACAACCAGAAGCTGGGTTTCCCCCTTTCAAATCACAATAAGACAAAGACCAGTGCAATATTCTTCTTAGACATCAAGTTTCATACTATAGGCAGATTCTTGCAGTTGGCACACTGGCAGCCCAAACACTGTGAGGTGCCCAGGATATCAAAAGCAGAAGCCACAGCATCCCTGTGCTTCATATCAGTGCCCAGGAGTAAGCTAGCAAGGGCATACAAGAAAATTTAGCAACCTCCTCCTCAGCAGCAGAGCTCAGCACCCAGGCTCTGCATTTCATACTCCTCATGTGAACACGCAGGGACTTGCTGCCTCCCTGCAGATCCAGTGCCCAGTGAACTCTGCCCCTGAGTGCAGCCTCCCCGGTGCTGGCTTCAGCACACAGCACAGCTCAGGAGTCATGCCCAGCCTG